CTGTCAGTTGGCCAGGTAGCTGTCTTCCAGATCTCTTGGCATAACTGAGTGCCTCCAGTTTGGCATCCGTTTGTTGAAATATCTCAATGGGTATTCCGTCAATTCCTGAAGCCTTGTTCTTCACTAATTCCTTCATTGCAGCTTTGACTCCCTCCTTCAGTACCATTGGTTCTAGATCATATGCCACCTCCTGAAATGGATGAAGATCGACCAGGTCTTTTTGGTACAGTTCCTCTGTGTATTCCTTCCATCTTCTTTTGAGGTTTCTGCATCATTCAATATTTTGCCCATAGAATCTTTCAATATTGCAATTCGAGGCTTAAAGTTTTTCCTCAATATTTTTAGCTTGAGAAACGCCGAGCATGTTCTTTCCTTTTGGTTTTCTAACTCCAGGTCTGCACATTTCATTATAGTAACTGGCTTTGTCTTCTCGAGCTGCTCTTTGAAATCTTTGGTTCAGCTTTTTTATCTTGTCATTTCTTCCATTTGCTTTAGCTACTCTCCACTCGAAGGCAAGTTTCAGAGTCTCTTCTGTTATCTATTTTGGTGTTCTCGTCTTTTCTTTTTAGTGACCTCTTGCTTTCTTCATGGATGATGTTCTTGATGTCATTCCACAAGTCTTCTGGTTTCCGGTCATTGGTGTTCAATGCATCAAATCTATTCTTTAGATGGTCTCTAAATTCAGGAGGGATATATTCCAGATCATATTTTGGCTCTCATGGACTTGTTTTAATTGTGTTTAACTTCAAGTTGAACTTGCATATGAGCAGTTGATGGTCTGTTCCACAATCAGCTCCTGGCTTGGTTTTGGCTGAAGATATTGAGCTTTTCCGTCACCTCTTGCAACAGATATAGTCGATCTGATTCCTGTGTGTTCCATCTGGTGAAGTCCACGTGTATAGCCACCATTTGTGTTGTTGAAAAAAGGTGTTTGGAGTAAGTCGTTGGTCTTGCAAAATTCTACCATGCAAGTTCCAGCATTATTTGTCACCAAGGCCAAACTTTCCAACTACAGTGATTGTTCTTTTTTTTCCAACATTTGCATTCCAGTCACCAGTGATAATTAACACATCATGATTGCATGTTTGGTCAATTTCAGACTGCAGAAGTTGATAAAAATCTTCAATTTCCTCATCTTTGGCTTTGGTGTTTGGTGCATAAATTTGAATAATAGTCGTATTAACAGGTCTTCCTTGTAGGTGTATGGATATTATCCTATTACTGACAGCATTGTACTTCAGGGCAGATCTTGAAACATCCTTTGTGATGATGAATGCCATGCCATTCCTCTTCAAACTGTCATTCCCGTAACAGTAGATCATATGATTGTCTGCTTCAAAATGGCCAAAACCAGTCCATTTCAGCTAATACCTAGGATATCAATCTTTATGCGTTCCACTTCATTTTTGACAACCTCCAATTTTCCTAGATTCATGCTTCATACATTCCATGTTCCGATTATTAATGGATGTTTGCAGCTGTTTCTCAATTTGAGCGGTGCCACTCAGCAAATGAAGGTCTAGAAAGCTTTACCTTATCCATATGCACAAGGCTGGTTTTACTCTGATGATGCAGCTTTCCCGGTCCTATTTTGAGGGCCTTCTAATCTAAGTGACTCATCCTCCTGATCTGTATTGGACAATGTTTCTGGACTATTCATTAAGTTGCGTAGTAGTGTATCAGTGTTTCTCTGCTATTCATAAGGTTTTCCCTAGCTAATTCTTTCAGAAGCAGATGGCCTCTTCTTTCCTCCTAGTCTTCTCAGTCTGCAAGCCAGGCCGATACCTGTGCACCATGTGCACCCCGCTGGGTTTGAAACACCAGTGGCACAGCCTCATGACTCACAGCAACATATCACCACAGTAGGACAAATTGACAAATTTAGTCTCCTTTAACTATTGGAAACCTCTCCAACCTCCTGTCTTTTTAACTCCCACCAGATGATTAGGTGGGGTTTGCTGATGGCCCAAGGGGATGGATGGCTTGCTAATGATGTAAGGGGAATGGCACCCTTGTAGGGGTGGGGCCATGCAAAGAAGTTATATGGAACCCTAACGTGGGAATTGGTCAGTTTTGCTACCCCATTAGAGTTAAAATGAGCCATCCCAAAGACAGAAAGAGGGGATCTCCCTACCATGAAGAAAACCAGGAGTGGACAGCTTCCTTTGAACCCAAGATCCCTGTGCCAAACTTCCTCAACCCAGAAGAGAGCTCTAACACTTCGCAGAGACAGTGACAGATGGTGGCAGCAGGACCAGACCAATAGGAGACTGAGCACAAGAGAGCTTCCAGATCCACAAGCAAGAAAGCCAAGCGCCTTTGGGCTGAGGCTGACTGACAGAGTGGGGTGTCCCTAGTCATTATCAACAGAGCTAAAAGAGCTCTGTAACATCTGCCCAAGCAGGGCAGAGGCCAAGGAACTACAAGGCCAGCCAGAGAGAGGTGAGCTTGTGGGCATTACTGAGAAGCTATCCTGACTGAAGAACTGTATTCTTGGTCATTTCTGATCCTGAATTGTAACCTGTTTACTTCCCTAATAAATACCATAATTTTGAGTATTATCTGTGAGTTCTGTGTGGCCACTACAAACCAAGTAGAGAATGCCATGGAAGGGACTGTTGGTGGCAGAACTGGTCAAAAGTTTGGAGGGTGGAGGCATTTCTGACCTTTGCCTCATACGAAATCAGCCTTGGGCTCTTGATCTCGATCCTCCTCTTCCCTTATTAAATCAGAGGTCAGACATTCTCCCCATGCCATTTTCAAAGCAGCTTAAAGCCCTATTTTCAAACTATACTAATAAACAGAAACTAAAGAAATTGTTTAAATTCTAAAAGTTTACTTCCTATATCCTAGCTATACAGTCAGAGCAGAGTTCAGCATTAAATAAAGAGATAGATCAAGTTTCAGATAATTTATTATTCAGTGTAAACCCCAACATGATTTTGTGCATTTGGGGAAGAAATATATCCTGGTTAAGTGGGAAATTGTGCGGATGGCTTCTGGAAGACCTTCATTATAAGCGGCTCTAAAGGAAAACATTTCATTTAGAAGTCAGGGCCTTCTTTCTTCAGTTTGCTGTAATCCACATTCACTGAGTAGAACTTGGAACAGAAAGAAAGAAAACTTAGATAATTTCTCAAATACACAAAAACAATACAGATATTTCAGAATTCTTTTTAGTTAGGTTTTTAGTAACAGTTATAGGCGTGAACTTTTTATTAAGAATCCTTAAAATGTCCTTGAAAAGTCATTCAAACACACTATACCTAAAACTCTAGTGCTTTAATGATAGTTTTGGAAAAGTAAAAATATTCAACCTCCCATAGAAAAGCAGTGTTGAACTAGTCTGTTAGTCAAACATATATAACTCTTATTTTTCAAAGTGAATAATTAATAATTTTTTCTAACATATACCTCCGGGAGCTCTGGTAGCATAGTGGCTAAGACACTTGCCTGCTAATCAGACGGCTGGCGGTTCAAACCCACCAGCCACTCCTCGGAAGGAAGGTTGGGCAATCCTACTTCCGTAGTGATAACTGCCTCGGAAACCCAAGGAGGGGTCGCTATGAGTCGGGGCCGACTCGACGGCACATAACAACAACAACAACAACAACAAACATATACCTCCAGTTCTTAAAAAGTTTTACTTCCATCTCTAAGTATGCAAGTAAATCTCTATCAAAATAAAGGAATACTCAGAATTACCATCCCTACACTTGGTTAACTGCTATAATTTAGATGGGAGAAATCTCACAACCAAGAGAGGTTGCTTATATAAGATAATACTATGTCATGTGGTTTATTTAACTTTGCAGACACAAACTGGCTTACCTCAACAGCTTCTGTATGTTCTCTCTTTCACTTCAAAGTGTCATTAATTTCACAGTGGGCCTAACCCAGACTGAATCCGTATCAAACTGAAACTTGATCACCTCTGGTCCAATGGCTTTTAAATAATAATATATTTTTACATGTTTAAAATTTCCAGAAATGTCCTTGTATTCTGCTAAATGGATTCTGAAAACAAATCTTACTAGTAGTATAGTGTCTAAGGCATTTGCCTGGTAACCAGAAGGCTGGTGGTTCAAACCCCCAGACACTCCTCGGAAGGAAGGTTGGGCAGTCTACTTCCATAGTGATAACACCTCGGAAACCCAATGAGGGGTCGTAATGAGTCGGATCTGACTCCACAGCAGGGCACTGCATTTGTTTTTTATAATCTTAGGTTTACTCATTCTTGTGCCAAATACTGAAGAAGTTGTGCTATAATGATTTTTTCTTTTATCATTGGTTTAGGAGCTCTGGCAGCGTAATGCCTAAGGCACTTGACTGCTAACAAGAAGGCTAGCAGTTCAAACCTACCAGCCACTCCTCGGAAGGAAGGCTGGGCAATCTACTTCCGTAGTGATACTGTCTCAGAAACCCAAGGAGGGGTTGCTATGAGTCAGGTCTGACTTGACGGCACATAACAACAACAACAATATTTGGTTTAAAAATGTTTTGAAAGGCAAAAATCAAGATTCTCCTTTCATTTTTATTTTTTTAATCCCCCGAAAAAATAACAGAACTGTAGAGTCATCAACATTTTCTTCAGGTTTTTAAAGCAAGAAACTCACAAATTTTTATTCATTATTTCACCAAACACCTCTCTTTATTTCTAATAATCTATCTTAAACTCTTATCTCTAATTAATAAACTTATTTTACTTGACTTTTAAAGAGAAATTATCAGGTTGTAAAATATACTGCCAAATTATCCTTGAAATATAAACATATGGACACAGACTTTTAAAGACAGAAAATTATAATTAAACCATAAAGTATTATTATTTTTTCTGACAGTATTAAGAAGCAACTGAATCTAGGCAATAAGATTTTAAAGAAACTAACTGTGCTATCCTCTGATGTACTAACAAAATATAAGAAAGAATATTTACAGAAGGATCTATTAAGAAGAAAATAAGTATGTGCTGGGTTCTTCTGATAGATGCCAGATACCACACTACATGTTTTACATATATCTCAATTATTGCAACAACCCTACTCACTCTTATTTAGAAGAGGCAACTAAAGATCAAGTTACATGACTTTGCCACTGAATATTCAAGAGGCAGGATCAAGCCTCTAAATCTATGCACTTTCCACCCTACCAAGTTGTGTCATCAAAATAAAAAAATTGGCTATTTGATTTAGTACTCTCTAGAAGAGGTACCATGACCAAAGTATATGAGTGTTCAGAACTCCTTACCAGATATACCTACATGATAAAGATGGATCATTGCTGATGATCAGCTATCATTGCTGATGACAGCAACTTTTAAGGGAATTATTACCTTTTGTTGATTCTAAGCACCCCAATCTTCTAATTTGCTTTCCACATCCCTAAATAAATCTGCCCACGAGAAATAAAAATGTACTGGCCAAGTTGAAACAAGCCATCTGATCTGTAACTTACATTTTTGCTCAAAAAAAGAAAATACAAGCAGGCATTCTGAATTGTTTCTCTAAGTTTGTTTAAAAAATTCTATTCCAGAGAAAATGATTCAACACCCAAGAAACTTAAAAAAAAAAAATGGTCTTGGTCCTTTTATCAAAGGGTGTATTGGAGTCTCTGAATATGTATAATGGATATATGTATATGTATCAAGCTTCCCAGATGATCCTGACAAGGAAGTAAGTTACTAATACCCTGAAACATGGTAACACAAAAGAAGTGATGCCAGTACAAGGCCAAGTGAAATCAGAAATGGAACGTGTTACTGCTACAAAAATCTAATGTGTATGGCATTGGAGGCTGTAAAAATGATGAATCATATTATATAATGGCAAAATATTTAGTCACCTGCTATAGCTTAGAAGATAGACTAGGTCCCTAAAGAGTCTGTAGTTGTAGGAAAAAACTTTGGAAAACAGATGTAAGTGGTGTACATATGGCTGGTTATTGTTGGTTCTATCAAGGTATTAAAGTTCGTACAACTGGGCAATTTGTAAGCAGAAATAAAAGGAAACTGAGTCTATGAGTCTAGAAATTTGGGAGCCTGGAGTGAATGGGACCTAATGCCTCTAAATTCCATACAGCAAGACAGAATATTGTCTAGTCTAGCCCTCACCTATGAGACTTGATCTCTAACCCACTGAGATCAAGTCCAACTTGTTTTGGCAAACCATAAGTGAGGGGAATTGATAGCTGCCACTTCTGTGTGGTTCCTCCAATGCTCTTTTCCCTGTCACAAGGCCCAAATTGTCAGGTAAGAGCTACTTATTCACCTTAGGATAGGAGTAAGAGAACTAGAAGTATAGCAGTCAACTTATGAAGGACATATGAGTGAAAATTAAACCTTTGTTGTAAACCACTAAGATTTGAGGATTATTTGTTGCCATTATTAAAACCCATTGCCATTGAGTCGGATCTGACTCAAAGAACTCCTCCTTGGGTTTCCGAGGCGGTATCACTATGGAAGTAGATTGCCCGAACTTCCTTGCCATTATTATAACCTAGCAAAAGCTGACTAGTACAAACACGAGAGAGACTAAAGTAAGATTCACAGGTCCAACAATGCTTTTCAACTGAATAAAATATCCCAAAGCAAAGTTCAGAATATGTTGTGACTTTCCCAACTGTTGCTCTAGATATCCTCAAGGTGGTGGTGGTAGTTAGCTGCTAGCAAGTTGACTCCAACTCATGAGGATCTTATGTACTGAAGAAAGAAAATATAGCCCAGTCCTGTGTCATCCTCACAATCAACAGTATATTCCAGTCCATTGGTATAACTGCTGTGCCAAGCCATCTCACTTATCTACAAGGCAGCAAGCCTTCACTGTCTGTCCAGCAGAATATGTCGTCTCCTTTTCTTCCTCTTTTCGAATGGTTCTGTTCATTGTCAGTACCTAGACCTTTCCTCTTTTCCCCACCTGCATATATGGATGTGGGGAACTTACTTGTCCTTTTAATTCATAGGTACCCACATTAAGGGACTACACTTCAACATAAAAGTCAACTCGCACATCTGAAGCTTCTACACTTGAAACTGAATGGAACATCTGAGTTGTTTCCTTTGAGAAAGCAGGGCATTTTTTTCATGCATGGAAACAATGAAATGATATGGTGGCTAAAAAGACAAATTGGAACAACAAAAAAAAAATTTTACTATTCACCACTGTTCCTTCTTTTAGGCACAGAGGAGAATCATTTCCCTGCCTCCTGTGCAGTTATATGGAGACATATGACTCATTTCCAGCCAATGGCAAACACCAATTCCAATCCTGGTCCTTACAAATATGCTCATGATCCTCCAGACCTTTCTACTGTGTGTCAATCTTATTCTAGAGGTCAGAGGTCTCAGATGGCAGAGCTACAAGATGCAAGAGGGCCTGACCCACACTGGACCTTGAGTTGGCTTTATTGTGTTTAAAATGGGAGAATATTTTCACAAATAATATATGTAAAATGGACCTATATCTTGATTATATAAAAAACTATTACAACTCATTATTCGTAAAAGCAAAAAAGTGAAGGGGAAAACCAAATATCCATCAACTGATAAATGGGTAAATAAAATGTGTCTACCCATGCAATAGAATATTCTAGGGCAATTAAAAGAAAAAAAAAGTAGTAGTAGTACTGACATGTTACAACGTAAATGAACCTTGAAAATTTTATGCTAAGTGAAAATAATCAGTCACAAAGGACCATATATTGCATGATTCCATCTATATGAAAAGTCCAAAACAGGCAAACCTATACATAAAAAGTATATTAGTGGTTGCCTAGTGCTGGGAGGGGAGCTCTGGTAGCAAGTGCCTAAGGCATTTGACTGCTAACCAGAAGGCTGATGGTTTAAACCCACCAGCCACTCCTCAGAAGGAAGGTTAGGCAATCTACTTCTGTAGTGATACTGCCTTGGAAACCCAAGGAGGAGTCACTGAGTCAGGTCCAAGTCGACGGCATATAACAACAATAACAAGTGCTGGGAGGTGTTGGCTAAGGTATGCAAAATTTCTTTTTAGGGTAATAAAAGTGTTTCAGTCCAGAGCAAAGAAGAGTGAAGAAAATGAAAGACGCAAGGAAACAATCAGTCCAAAGGACTAATGGACCATGCAAACCCCAGCCTCCATGATCATGAGACCAGGAGAACTAGATGAGTCTTACTAACACTGCTGACAACTGCAAAGGATCATAATACAGATCTGGGATAGAGTGGAAGGAAAATGTGGAACAAAACTCAAAATCACAAAAAAGATCACACTTACTAATCTGATAGAGACTGGTGAAACCCCAAGACTATAGCCCTTAGTCACTCTTCAAACCCAGAACTAGAACTCATCAATGTGGCTCAACTTTCAGCCAAACGATAGACAAGCCTATAAGGTCAACAGTAACACCAGGAGGTATACACTCATCAAACAATCAACCATTTGAGATCAAAAGGGTAGCATGTGCCCAGAGAGGAAGCTTAGAAGCCAGGAAGGGATAGGAAAAAAAGATGAAGGGAAATGGTAAACACAGGGAGGAAGTGAGAAGAGTGTTACAGGGACTGCAATGTCATAAAACATGTATGAATTGTTGAGTGAAAAATCAATTTTTTTCTGTAAATATTCACCCAAATCACAACAACAAATATATAATAATAAAAGTGTTCTAAAACTGATTGTGGTACTGGATACACAGCAGTGTAAATTCGAAGTCAACACTGAATTATATACACTTTAAATGAGTAAACCGTATGGTGGATTCTATCTCAATAAAACTCTTTTTCAAAAATAACATTACCTACCCCTCATATAACAAATAACTTCCATTCCTCAGTGGAAATTACCACCAAAAAAATGCTTTTTTATCCGCATTTCAAGGGCTGAATCTTTGTATGCAAAGAATTTTACACAGAAAGAAGGTTTTATCAGGGGATTCAATGAATGGTCCCAATCCATTAAATCATTCCTTGAAAGGGTAGTTCCACAGACCACTCCTCATGGAAGATGTTAAAAAGCCTATCTAAAAGGTTTAGGGTGAAATTTAAGTTTCAACTGACTTTCATTTCTTCCTATTAATCTTCACCTGAAATATTCCAAGCAAACCAACTAGAATAGACAACCAAACCATTCATACTACATTAATTCACTGCCGTCAAGTCGATTGTGACTAGTAGCGACCCTTCCTTGGATTTCAGAGGTGGTCTCTCTACTGAAATCGATTGCCCGTCCTTCCTTCCAAGGAATGGCTGGTGGGTTTGAACCTCTACCCTTCTGGTTAGGAAACAAATGCCTTAGGCACAATGTTAGTGCTGCTTAAAAGTGGACCAACAGCATCAGCATCATCTAAAATCTTGTTAAAAATGCACATTCTCAGGCCCCACAGCAGACCATCTGAATCAGAATCACTGGGGATAGAGCTAAAGAATATAGTTTACAAGTGGTACTTATGTACATTGAAGTTTGAGAACCACCGCACTAGACCATCTAAGAACTAAAGCAAGAAATGATAGCTATACCATCTCCCTTGTTCTCTCTAGTCAGTGGAACTGTGACATCTTGATTTCAAATTCAGAGTTTCAAGACTGTGAATAAAATCCCTACAAAAAATATTACAACACTATGCTATTTTAGTTTCACAGAACAATCTAGCAGCCCCTCAAAGTTCAATATAATGAAATTTTACTTGTATATTCAATTTCATGGAAAACTACTCCATGACAATGATTAAAATATACTTTCCAGAAATACTGAACTTACCTTGTATTGATCATTAGGACCAAGTTTGTTCCATGGCTCTGGATTATTCTTTCTGTCCCAACTGCAAAGAATAAAGCAGTATCTTGTTATATATACACTATTTAAAAGTGTTTTGCACTTTCTCAATCCTCCCTATGCCTGGTTTTCCAGCTGAAAAATAGAGACATTCTCTACTGTGGAAAAGCAGGCAAAAAGAAACAAAAAAAAAACAAAAACCTATTAGCCATATCACTATCCCAGCAGGAGGGAGAAAAGGAAAAAGAACTAACATATGTTAAAACATTTACATATGCCAGGAATCATGATTAAGCATTTTATAAAAGCAATTGTTATTATCTCAACTTTCACAACATTATAAGGCAGATATTAGCAGTTCTTCTTCACCAGTAAGAAATAAGAAAAGTAACAGAACTGGCATCTAAACTTATTAAGTATAAAACTCAGGTTCTTTCTACTACTTAATGTTGCTTCCCTAGAAACACTGTGCTCCTAAATCAGCTTGATAAACCATCAGTGTTCTAAACATTTTTAAGAATTTACCTGACATCTGGATTAAACAACGCCAGACGCAAAACATACAGTGCTGCCCCAGTACCTCCAGCTCCAATAAATACGAAGAGAGGTATCAACTAGAATCAAACACAAAACAGACAAGAATAAATAACCATCTTCAAATATCTTAATAACTGCCAAAAGACTTTACAGTAGCTTCTATATACTGATCCCCAAGCCTCAATCTGCTATTCTGTCATGCAATGTTACACTAAAGTAAGATTTCTTATAACTGTATTCAAAGAAAGAAATGGAATTCCCAAAACATGTGAAAATGATTCTGGTTTAAGAGTCTCATCTTTTTAATGTGGGGGAAATTATATTCAAATTGAAAAAAAAAAAAGTATCAAATCTTTTTCACTTCTGTATACATCATTTCCACTACATTTCTCAGCTTCTCTTCTCTCTAGGCTTAAAACAAAATCTCTGTGACATAGAGTCCAAATAAATAAACAGAAACACATCTATTACAAATATTGGCTTAATGCATAATCTCTGAAAATGTACTGCTACCAAAGTCTGGGCTATTCAGGAAATTAGGATTTTAAGATGAAGATTAAAGACTGCGTAATTAAACTTTAGGAGCTCTAGTAATGTAGTGCCTGAGGCACTTGACTACTAACCAGAAGGCTGGCGGTTCAAACCCACCAGACACTCCTATGAAAGAAGGCTGGGCAATCTACTTCCGTAGTGATACCGCTTCGGAAAACAAAAGAGGGGTCGCTATGAGTCATATCTGAGTCGAAGGCAGTGCGTTTGATGTGGTTTGTAATTGAAATTTAGAACCACAACAAGTTCTCGGCTAGAGGAAAAAAAATTAGAACTGCAAAAGAACTCTTGACTGCAGTAAGTTCTGGATTACCATACATCCCAAAATGTCAATACAAAATAAGGATTCCAAAATTATGGACCCCTTCCTTAAATATGCCCCAAGAACTGGTGGTGCAATGCGGTGAGTTTTAGACCCTTATGTGGCGAAAAACACACAGGGATTCTGATGTTTGCTTGTCTCTGACCCACACAGCCTCCGACCAATCTGCAAGAGGATGAGGCCACCAGACTGTTCTAAAATACGCTAGTTCATTTTCCTCACAGGTGTCACTTACCTTCCGCCTCCCAACCAAAACCCCACAACGCATGGTGTGCAAGGTCAGAACTCAAGGGCCTGAAGGCAACGAGGCCGGCAGCCAACACAAGGCAGGAAGACAGTGGTCCGCCCTGAGAAACTTGTTTGTGGCTGTGAAGAAAGAACCTCCCGGGGACCGAGGCAGCCGGACCCTGACACAATTCGGACAGGTGAGGACACTAGGAACTGGGTCGCGAACTTACGCTCGGGTGTTTCTTTGCCTGACCGATGATCTGGCGGAGCATGTTTGCGGCAGAGGTCTTCGGGTCCAGAAGAAGAGAACTAACTCGGCAGGCCCAATATCGAGGACTCGCTACACTCAACACTTGCGGGCGTCCAAAGTCACCCACGGCCTCCTACCTGAAGGACCCTTGGCTCCGAGGGCAGCCTGCGGCAAGAGGGCCCGGATGCGGCTGTCCATAAAAGTGCCTGCTTTGATCCAGAGTCTCATGCGTTTGGCCTAACCTGCCTGGACTATCATTATTCCACTTCAAAGAGAAACACAGTTAATTCCTGTGCTACGTCTATTTCTGACGGGAAATTTGTTACATCGAAACTACGACCTTTCCATTGACAAGACAGGCAATTTCCCGGGTGGCCACGCATTGAGAAATAGCAAGGGCGGGCGGGCGGTTAGACCTTGCGCTGGGAGAACTGGGACCTCTCTCGCAGCGCCTGCAAACGGGTCTGCGCACCGAGACGCTGGGGGCGCGCGTGCCGGGCGCGCGCGTGTCGGCCCTGACCGCCGCTGAGGGAGCTTCGCGGCGCCTCTGGCGGCCGAGCGCCAGGCGCCTGGAGGGTAGGTCGGGTCTCCTGCTGCTAAGGTCAGCGGCTGCGGTTTAAAAAGCCTGCAGCTGCTTCCTGTCTTAGGCTGTCGCTGAAAACTAGTAAATGACTTAAAGATGACAATGGTTCTTTCAGTGTACTCTCTAATCCTTTTGTTTGTCGCCTTCGGTTAATGTTCATCGCTACAAAGACCTGTGCGGCACGCCACCATCCTTTCATTGGTCCCGAAATTGCATTCTTAAAATATGTTTTCAGAGGTCTTTTTCACCCCCAAGCCAGTTTTCACTCATTTTCTTTTACCTGAAAATCTTACATGGGACAGGGTCTATGTTAAGGCGCTGGAGGTAACAACAATAAACCCGGCAATCTGAACCCTGTTCAATTTAAAGTATTAATCAAGTGATCTCGTCAGTAATTGGGAGTAGGAAAGGGTGGAGGCGAGGGGAGGAGTAACGTTTCCTCTAGACCAAACCAAAAACCAAACACACTGCCATCGAATGTATTCTGACTCATAGCGACCCCCATTTCGTTTCCGAGACAGTATATCTTTACGGAAGTAAATTGCTCTGTCTTCCCTAGAGTGGCTCGTGGGTTTGAACTGCCAACCTTCTGATTAGCAGTCAAATGCCTTAGGCACTGCGCCACCAGAGCTTCTTTTATGCTAGACAGATCTGGACAATAAGCAGGTGAAAACGGAAGAGGCATGAAACTTGTACGTGAAGGTCAAAAGTTAGACCATTTGAGAAGCTGTGGGAGCTCTAGTACAGCTGAAGGTTGAAGAGAGAAAGCAAGCCAGGGATCAGATCTGTAAGGCCAATGACCACTTGCAAATCATGAGTTTCATGCAGAGAGCATTGGGAAGTTAAGCTAACACAAGATGTCTGCTTTTGAATGATTGCTTAGTCTAAAAAGGAATAGATTTGAGTGGATGGTATGAAATATGAGCCTGTTTAAAGGTCCATTGCAATAGTCTATAGCAACAGTAATAACAGAGAATGGTAGCTTGAATTAGTGTAGGAAATGTGATGGTTAAGAAAGGAACTCAAAGGTTGGTCTTAGTGATTGTTGAAAGTGAAGTGATGAGAGGGAAGAGTCAAGGATGATTTCATAGATTTAGTTTACACTAGTTGTGTAAATGCCGTGGCCATTGATTTTGACAAAATCACCAGAGAATGTACTTAAGTATCTATGTAAGATGCAAGTGAGTTTTGGGTTTCTGTGAATTAAAAGAGAGATCTAGATTAGAGGAATACATTTAGGACTCAGTTTATTGACAGGTATTGCAGCCATGACTAATTGAGATTTCTTGTGGGGGTGGGAAGAGTGAGAAGAGAGACAAAGAGGACCAGCTTGATAAATTCCAAAAGGTAATTGAGGTTAAAAAAAAAAAAGATAGTGGCTATAAAGATGATATGTCATGAAGCTTATGAAGACTCTTGGTGTTATTAGGTGCCATCAAGTTGTCTCCGACGCATAGTGACCCTATGTACAACAGAACAAAATACTGTGTGGTCATGTGCCACCCTCACAATCCTTCCTGTACCTGAACCCTTCATTGCAGACACTGTGCCAATCCATCTTCTTAAGGGCCTTCCCCTTTTTTGTTGACCCTCCACTTTACCAAGCATGATATCTTTCTCCAGGAAATGGTCCCTTCTGACAGCATGACCGAAGTAGGTCAGACAAAGTCTAGCCATTCTTGCTTCCAAGCAGCATTCCAGCTGCACTTCTTCCAGGACAGATTTGTTAGTTCTTTGGGCAGTCTGTGGTACTTTCAGTACTCTTCACCAACACCACAACTCAAAAGCATCAACTCTTCTTCTGTTTTCCTACAATGAATATTGTCTAGCTCTCACATGCATGTGAGGTGATTGAAGCTACCATAGCTTGGGTTAGGCATACCTTAGTCTTAAAGGAAACGTCTTTGCTCTTCAGCCCTTGAAAGAGGTCTATTGCAGCAGATTTGCCCAGTGCAATACATCATCTGATGTCGACTGCTGCTTCCACTGGTGTTGATTGTGAACTAAGTAATATGAAATCTTTGACAACTTCAATCTTTTCTCTGTTTATCATGATGCTGCTTATTGGTTCAGTTGTGAGGATTTTTGTTTTCTTTATGTAATCCATACTACAGACTGTCTTTAATCTTCATCAATAAGTACTTCAAGTCATCCTCAATTTCAGCAAGCAAAGTTGTGTCATCTGCGTATCACAGGTTGTTAATGAGTCTTCCTCCAATCCTGATACCACATTCTTCTAGTCCAGCTTCTCAGATTATTTGCTCAGCGTACAGATTGATTAAGTATGGTGAAAGGACTGACAACACTCAAGCACTCCCTTCCTGTTTTTAAACTATGCAATATCCCCTTGTTATGTTTGAACAACAGCTCAGCAAATCTTTATTATGTACTCAATCTGTACCAGGTACTCCTCTAGTTACTGCAAATATGGCAGTGAACAAGAAAATTGTTTTGCCCTATTGGAATAGATGCAACAGAAAAAGAGAAAACAGCACGTTTGCTCTTAAAGATTCTGCTGGTATATAACACATGTTACTTCTTACCTCTCACTTGCTAGTAAAGCAAGTCATTTCATCTCACAATGTGCTGGTTGGGAAGATAGATATGACAAGGTAATTTTAGATCATTATAAGGAAAGCTGAATAATTAGATAGGGAATGACATGATAGGGGTGAGGGAGAAATGGTTGTTTTAGTGAGTGTTAGAGGCAAACTAGTGAAGATTTGGAGGAAGAATATTCTGATTTGCAAGATTGATTTGAAGATAAAAAGAAATGCTCAAGGGAGGTCAGTGTGTCTGACCCAAAATAAATGAGATGGATAGCAGAGGAAAATGAGATCAGAGATGTTGTAAAAGTGTCCCTTACAGACTACCGTTAATGTACAATGGCAGGCAAAGAGTATGTTAGCAGCCTGTGTCAGTCACTACTGGCTACCGTTGACAAGATAGTATAATAAAGAAAAGGATTCAGAATAATTGTCCAGTTTGCAAGGTAGTAACAAGGAATTGTTCATTTGGAGACACCTAGAGTTGGAAGATACAACTGATTCTCATCTTCAGCCTGTATAAGATAACAGTGAGAAGGCATTTAGCTACAAAGATCAATTAAAATTAAAATTCTAGGTAATGATCCAATAAAGAATGTGGGCATCACACCTTTGTTAAGACATGTCAGTAGATTAAGGTGTCTCCAGTGAATCTTTACAACTGGATAGTTTTCAAGTATAAGGGCAAAGGGATAAGAGTCTGGCTTTCCTACCCAAACCTGATATGTTATTGTTGTTGTTGTTGTTGTTGTTATGTGCCTGATATAGTAAAAAAAAAACAAAAAACAAAAAACAAACCCTAGCCATTGGCATCCTGTCAATTCTGACTCATAGCAACCCTATAGGACAAAGCAGAACTGGCCCTTAGGGTTTCCAATGCTGCAAATCTTTATAGAAGCAAACTGCCACATCTTTTTCCTGCAGAGTTGCAGGTGGGTTCAGACCACTGACCTTTCAGTTAGCAACGAGGTACATAACCACTGTGCAACCAGTGTTCCTGAAATTAAGTGTAGAGGAAGAAAGAAATGTTTCTTAGAAAAAATTATGTGGCTATTGGTACATGAAGATGACTGGATTAAACAGTACTGAGAGAATCATCAACCTGGATTAAAGAGATTTTGACTGTTTGAGATGTGAAGTGATCCTTGGGCTCCCCAATCCTCTGGAGGTGAGAAACGGGTCATAAGATGTGCCCATTCTACAAGGAAGGCCTACCCTATTTTAATGCAAATAATGTGCACATTCTACATTTTTCATTCCACAATACACCTCATATGTTACTTTCATAAGCACACTATACCAATATTTTTTTTACATGTTGATTTCAGTTTTCTTTTTTTTTTTTCCTGTCCAGTGGATTTAATGTTAAGTCTTTGTCTTTGTGCCTGTTGACACAGAGGTTTTGTTCCCAGTAGCAAATCTCACCAGTTACCCTCTAGTTTCTAAACCAGCCACTTTTCCAGAAGGATTCCGTCTGTGCTCTGCAAACCACTTTCTCTAATGCAGGAAGGAATCACTTTTTCTGTCCCAGAACTGCTCTCACCAGGGCATTCGGCCTCAGCCTGGAGATGTATGAGTCTGTGTGCCCCCAGCTGGAAAGGCCACTCAAGCAGGGAAGGCCAGCACACTGCAGCCACACACAGCCATCTGACTGGTTAGCTGCTGGACTTAGGCCATTTAAATCTCCTGCCCATACAGAAGTTACAGAGTGGGCATAAGAGCTTGGGGATCAGAGGGGTCACGTGGATAAGATGAGTTCAGCTGGCTGCCTTGGGGCCCCGCAGACTAAGGCAGTGAATGCCCTTGCCCACACTGTCCTGCTGCCCAGTTTCATATGGGGACTGCACCCCAGGACTAGGGCATATGCAGGTAATGAGCCCTGCCTGCTGTGGGACCACCCTGTGCTCTGGCTATGGCGGCCACAC